CCATCATACCCACCACCACAGCAACAACATCCCACTGGCTTTGACTTTGGGTCATCAGTGACCGGTCAGCGATAAAGTGGTTTAGCTTGTCGTTTGCGCGCGTGTGTGTTGTATTGTGGATTTAGCGCGCATCGTACCCTTTTCTCTTCTCAATCAATCTGGAATCTGGTTGCATGGTTTTTGCGAACGATATCAGGACATGTACATTCTTCCATCTCTTGGAGCAAGGCTTCGGCCGGGCTTTTTTCTTTTTCTTTTGTTTATCCATTGTCTATCGCTAATTGGTGTTCCGGTACTGGGATTTTAAGATACCTTTGAAGTAAAATGCCTCTTTACTACGCCTCTCGTTGTAAGACATGGGGATTGTAGAATTACTACAACAGAACAGAATCAGATCCTATCACGATCTTTGAGAATGCTAGATGCAATATTAAGATCTTACCCTTTCTATTCATGATTTCTATTTACTTGCAATGACGCGATTGATGTTTTGCCACTGGTATCAACACAACAGAACCGTACACAAATTCCGATATTCTCCCTTTACGTCGCATGTCCATCGAACCACCACCACCACCACCACCCACCAGTTCCTACCTACCGTTTCTTATCCTACTCAAATTAAACTCAAACCTGCGCCTCACGGTTGACGTCAGTCACCCACGCCACACACACACACACACACACACACACACACAACCCGAGCGTCTCGCCAAACCCATCATCGCACTGTGACCTGGGGCCGCAGAAAAGGTCTACGGGACTGCAGCCGCCAGCCTATTTTTTACCGCTCGGGATTGCTTGCGGTAGCCCCAAGGCGCGTGAACCTACCAGTATGTAACTTTGGTGGCTGAGTGTAAAGTGCTGTGGGCTTGGAGAAGAAACGAATGGTGATAAATTGAACTGATGTAATTATGGCATCTACATAGATTGTCCGTAAGTTAGGAGGTCACTTTGTGTCAATGTGTAAACGGCACTTGTGCTAGTAGGATGTTTGTTCATTTTTGCTCGGACGAACATCATTCATAATCAGAAGGCGTTCGTCCATCAGAGCATGCAAGCTTATGGTGACAAAAATGTCCAAGAATTATTGTCGAATGTTAAAGGCTCGGGCTTTGGGTACGCGTGCCGCTTGCGAAGCTAGACAAACACTAGATAGGACGTTTCTTGTAACCTAAATCTCTTAGTGCAAAGCCATCACACTCGTCCAGCACAGACATGTAGATCAAGTGTTGATGGCATTGAGGTATCTGGGTGTACTAGTCGGACCCTGTCATGTCAGTACAACACAAACAGACACATCACATGCGACAACAACGAGCATAGAAATGATCACACAATGGTTATGCGGAACATTCACCCAAGTGAAGCCTCCATTGTGTTTGTGATCGTAGACCTGCTCGTTAGAGACGAGGTCGCTCCATTGATAGGCCGCAAGTTCAATGCTTGCTCTTTTGTAAGATACATTCCCAGGACTCCGTAGGACCGAACCCCCCGAGACCGAAAATGCTGGTGATCGTGCAAAATCTTCACTTCGTTCCTTTCCCCCCAACCGACGATACGCTTATCGGACGATACCCTCGAATCGGTTCTTGTACCACTTGATGGTCTCCTGTTGGTTGACCTTGTGGGAAGCGCCGATCTTGCTCTGGCACCTCCTGCGCTTGGCGACACGCTCACCGGGGCGGGTCATGCAGACGTAGAAGTCCATACCGTAGATACTGCTCCAGTCAGCCAATGTCTCTCTCTCTCTCTCTCTCACACTCAGGATCCAGATTCCACATACCCAATGCTGGGGTCGTACTTGATACCCAAGTCGATGTGCTCGCTGATACCGAAACCGAAGTTACCAGACTCGGAGAAGTTGCGCTTGCGGAGCTCGTACTCCTTGACCTTGAGACCACGCTCGAGGATCTCCTCGGCCTTGGGGCCACGGACGGTGACGTGGACAGCGATCTTTTCGTTCCTTCGGATACCGAAAGTACGGACAGTGTAGCGGGCCTTGGAGTAGACGGGAGTTTGACCGGAAAGCTGCTCGAGCACCTTGGCGGCACGAGTGAGACGATCACCAGACTCGCCGACGGAGATGTTGAGGACGAGCTTCTGGATGCGGAGCTCCCGCATGGGGTTGGAGGCCTTGGAGTCGGACTGTCATGGCTGTTAGTTTGCGCAGAGCAATTGGCGGTCGAAATTCGGTGTGCGTACCATGGTGATGACTGCGGAGGTTAGTAGTCGTTGGGTGGGTTGTCGTGTCGCTGGTGTTGAAGTCGCGATCGATGTAATAATTTTGATGGGGTGTGCTCGCTTACTTAGAGCCAAGCCCGCCGTGCACGTGCCAGGCTGCGTAGCTACGAACTGCAACTTTGATCGCGAACAAACAGCTCCATACGCCCCGCCTATCGCCAACTGCAAGGGGACAATCTCTCAATACTTTTACATACCCATTCTCTGAGCTTCAAGTCGTCCTCGGACGCGCTATACCAATCATGTCTGGCGCCGCAAACCGACAGGGAAAGATGGTAAGTAAATCTGCCTAGCAGCTCGAGTCCTTGACCTGAGAGAAGACGCGCATAGAAACTGACTGACGCCTGGTGATATAGCAAAATCTAGTAAGCGCTCCAGTTTCCGCTCATAGTCGCATGCAACTTACATAGCCAGATCAACTACCGCATGAAAGTCACCCTACAAGATGGTAGACAAATGGTCGGGCAGATGCTCGCATTCGACAAGGTCAGTGTCGCGAACTTTCCCCTGTTGACTCTGCTAACCAGCTCTCTACAGCACATGAACCTTGTTCTCGCCGACACAGAAGAGTTCCGACGTACACGAAGAAGGGGCAAAGCCGCGCCCGGCGCAACCCAGCAAGTCACCGAGACTGAAGAGCGACGCGCGATTGGACTTACTATTATTCGTGGCGCGCACGTAATCTCGTTATCAGTCGACGGACCACCGCCTGCAGACCCTGCCGCGCGACTTGGTGCAAACGCTGGAGGACCATCTACTGCTGCCGCGCTGGCTGCAGGGCCCGGTGTCGCTCGTCCTGCTGGACGTGGCCTCCCAGTCGGTCTTACTGGACCAGCTCCTGGTGTTGGAGGCCCTGGTCCTGGCTTCGGAGGTGGCTTCCCAGGCGCACCTGGAGGCTTTGGAGGCCCGCCAGGCTTCCCAGGTCGTGGCGGCCCACCTGGCGGACCACGTACGTTCCCATTGAGCGCAACTTGAGAAACATATGCTAACATTCTATAGCTGGATTCCCTCCCGCTGGTGGACCTCCTGGATTTGGTGCACCGCCAGGCTTCGGTGGGCCGCCCGGCTTCCCTGGTCGTGGTGGACCCCCTGGTTTTGGTGGCAGGTAGAAGGAGGACAACGAAGGATCATAACGAAACATTGCTAGAAAGATTTGGCATTGGACGATCGAACACGGCGCGTGCCCATACCACAGATCTCAGGAGATACCTTGGAAAAGGACCAAAGTCACGTCCGACACGTAGCAAGGGAGCGAATGTCCCTAAAATTACGTTACGATCAGTGATTGCGAAGAGCACCGACAGAGCGAAATACCAAGTTCAAAAGTGTATTGAGATATGGTTGAAGGACACGAATTATACCACTGGCTTAAATGTATTCACAAGAATCAGTCGCATCAGTCCAAACATAAGATACGACTGTAACCCCAGTCATTCAAGTCTAGGTGTGCCCGTATTCTGAGTGTTTGCCATGATGAAATGAACAATGTTCATAGCTTCATACCCCATTTCATGCAACACTAGAGAGCAGTTGACGTGTGATTCGCGGGCCCATCCCAATTAGCCTACGTGTAATCACTCCCAGTCATCTACTCTATTTCCTCGTATTTCCGGCTGGATCACCGTGCACGTGATGTCCTTCCCGTTGTCGGAAGCAGTTTGCGGTTCCCGGTCCCTGTTCGTTCGGCCCCAATTATCGCTTGGCATCTAAACCGTCCGTCGTGCGTCCGCAACTCGCAAACTGCAACCAACCGACCCACGAACTTCACGTCAATCCGCACGCAACTCGGTCCTCGGTTCCTTCCGGTAAATCAGTCAAGATGGCCGCCGCGATCAAAGCCCTCAATGCGAAGATTCGCTCCAACAAGTACACGGATTACTTTTGCTCGACTCGTATGTACACCCGTCTCGTTGTGAGGGCACCGCGCATTGCAAGAGCTTGGGAAAGGGTGCGCAGAAGACGATATCTGGAGGATATAACGAAGGAGCTGTAGAGGGAAAGAGTGGTTGGCTAACACAAAGATAGATTTCTGGGGCCCGGCGAGTAACTTTGGTATCCCGATTGCGGCTATTGCGGACATGAGCAAAGATCCTGAGATGTACGTCCTACTCCACTCTACCTTCGTTCTTGACTCTATCCAAACTTTCCAACCCGCACGCGATCATGACCTATCCTGCCCCCCACCCAATTCCTCCCCGCTTTCACAACACCCCCAGCTAACCCCTCTCTCACAATAGCATCTCCGGCCGCATGACCGGCGCCCTCACCCTCTACTCCGGCACATTCATGCGCTACGCCATGGCTGTAACACCAGCAAACTACCTGCTCTTCGGCTGCCACGCCATCAACTTCACCTCGCAACTCGTACAAGGGTACCGATACCTCAACTACTGGAATTTCGGCGGCCGGGAAGCTAGTCTGGCGGGTAAGGCGGACAAGGCCAAGGAGGAGACGATAGGTGTCGTGGGCAAAGTGGAACAGAAGCTTGAGAAGGTTGCCGAGAACGTCAAGGGTGTTATTCCGAAATGAAGAGGGAAGTTGAAAGGAAGAAGTACGGAGATATGAAAGGCCTGGAAAGAAACGTGTGGGGTGGTTCACATACATTTACCTTATATCCTAGCGTGCTCTAACCTTTGATTTCTTGGACGAATACCACATCTTTGCTCATGAAGTGCATACGCAAAAAAACTAAACTTCATAATTCCTCAAGACTGACTGACTCTACACAGTTGGATTCGAGATTTACACACCCCAAATTACATCAGACTACTCCTCCCCCCAATCTCATTTCCTCCCTGTCCATTTGGCAAATCACCATCCCTGCCATCAACAAACTCCCTGTATATCCTCTCAAGACGCATCCTCTCTTGTGCCGAGATACTGCTTCGTCCACTAGAAAGAGACGACTCTATGTGTTTCCACTGAATCTGCGGATCCTTTCTTTCATCACCGTCTTCTTCTTCCTTGTTCGCTTTATCTTCGTCTTCCCTCTGCGCCGATCCATCAGAACGTTGGATTTGTTTCTGTTTCTTGCGCAGAGCCTGCAGGGCAGCAATTTTCTGAGCAATCATGGCGCGCTCGGTGAGTTGAGCGGATGTTGCTAGGGCGGAAGAGTTGGGGGTGGATGTAGGATCGTCGCCGTAGCGGAAGTAAGAAAAGTCAGGAATGCCCTTGTTGCTTGCAGTAGCGTTGTTTCCGTCTTTCTTGTGGTCGATTTTCGAAGGGTCCACGTCGCCAAGTACATCGTGGATGGCTTCTAGCTGCGCGTTATATACCACGGCTTGGAGATCTGCACCCGAATAGCCTTCTGTTCTCATTGCTATTTCGCGGAGATTCTCGCCTTCGTGGCCGTCACCTAGAAGGCTGGGGGCGAGGTGTAGTTTGCGTGTTACGGCACGCAGGATGTCGATGCGTTCTTCCACGTCTGGCATATCACATAAGAGAGATTTGTCAAGACGACCAGGGCGAAGGAGCGCAGGATCGATCAAATCAGGTCGCGACGTAGCAGCTAAGACGTAGACGCCCGAAAGACCTTCCGCTCCGTCCATTTGAGTGAGGAGTTGGTTGACGACACGGTCTGTTACGCCCGTTGAGTCGTGTCCACGCTTCGGTGCGATACTGTCGAACTCATCGAAGAAGAGAACGCAGGGTCGCGCTGCTTCTGCACGTTCAAAGAGATCCCGGACAGACTTTTCAGAAGCACCAATGTACTTGTTGAGAATTTCTGGTCCTTTGACTGAGATGAAGTTTAGACCGCACTCGCCTGCTACTGCAGATGCGAGTAGGGTCTTGCCACATCCAGGGTAGCCATACAGGAGTAAACCTGATCGGAGACGTAGTGGGCATTTTGCGAAAATGGGAGCGTAGGTTGTAGGATATTGAAGAGTTTCCAAGAGAACCTGTCGTGTTGTGAGGAGACCGCCGATGGAATCCCATTTTGTAGTGGAGGATTGTAGTGTAACGTTTCGCAAAGAGGCGGGCGTGAAGCCGGTGATGGCTTGAGTGTAGTCCTCTCGTGTGAGAGAGACAGTTGGGGATGTCGACGTGACTGAGCGAATCAATGCTTCGTTGCGGGCGCGCGATGTGAGTAACACGAGATCGCCGGGCATGTAACCGTCTGTCTGGCCGGCGAGGTCGAGAAAGTCGATTGTAGGATCAATGGTGAAGGCATAATCATCAGACGGTTGTTGTGGTATGCTGTCGATACTAGGCTGACTGCGATGAGCGGTACTAGGCCGACTGTTCGATGGTGATGGTGGGAAGGCATGGCCATTGAGCTCCTTTGACTGCTCTATCTTGGCATCCTTGAACGCAAGCATCTCGAGAACCTTCCTTCTACCGTCTTTGCTGGGGGCCTTGAGACTGACAATCTCGCGGACGATATGTCCGCCAACGATGACATTGTTCAAGGCCTCTTTACCTTGCGCAGTTGCTAGCAAGACCACACCAGAGTCCATAGAGCAATATTGCCTTACGATGTTGATTAGGCACTCGCTGACATGTCGACTGCGCCCGTTCTCATTACCAACTTGGAGCTCGGTCTCCACTGGACATAGCTTGTCCAAATCATCTAGAATTACCACAGCATTTCCACCGCCTCTTGCGCCCCATGATGCCGAAGCAAACAATCTGTTCAGGGTCTCCTTGATAGTCGCAACTCGCGTCTCATCCGTTACCAGTTTGCGACAGGGAAAGTAGATGGTGTTGAAGAGATATTCGGTTCGAAGTTGATGGGCAAGTAGTTGAGCGCATTCCGACTTTCCTGCTCCCAGGCCACCAGTGAGCAGAACCGAAGAATTGTGTGTTAGATGTGATCGTAGTTGCTGGATAAGAGGATCTATGCCAACCAGATTCGCGGGTGTTTGCGGAAGCGGATCACCCTGCTGCCAGCCCTTGGCCCAGCTTGTTGGCGTTGACACCTCTTGACCTAGTTCAAGCGGGGGCTTCCTCTCGGGGAAGAGCACCCATGAGACTCCGCTTGTGGATGATGGCGGTTCGAACCTCACGATACCTCCTTGCCAGCCAAGCTCGGAGTCGTTGGCCGGAGGCAGTATCATTCCATCTGTGACCGGCCCATCGAGAAGGCCGTTCTTCTTTCCGTAGGTTGTTTTGATCTTCTGTATCGCGTTCTCCTGGTCTTGCTTAGACTCGCCACCAAACTTCAAGGAAGCATTGACTTGTGACGCAGCGGTGGAGAAGGGTATGATCTTGATAGACTTGACAACCGGTTCCCTCGACTCTTTGTACCTTGCGGTTTGATGGCCGGCGGCTTCGGAGTCTGAGCTGGAGCGCCTTCGATCCGAACGAGTCCACCCACAAAGTTGTCGAAGCCCAAGACCTTGCAGAGGTCGGTTGAAAGCGCCACGTGCCTACTGTCGGGCGCGTCTTCCCATGCTATAATCTTGGCGACTACGCGCGTTGCGGGCTTCTCCTGTTCCTGCTCCTTGGACATATCCACCGGCTCTTGTAGCCCTGCAGGCTTGATGATTGAGATGGAGACCCAAGTGGCCCCTCGGAGGGCCTTAGTGAGGAGTACGTCCTTGTCTACCCACACCTTCAGGCCCTCGGCGTCTGTATCTTCTTCTTCGTCGAACCACTCCCTTGCCACACTACGATCAACACCACGCAAGAAGATGACACCTTTGCTTGCGGCATCCTCGCGACCACTGCGTCGCCGGACTGTGCTTGCAGAGCTCTTTCCGCTCTTCCTCGATGCAGCGCCCACACTCCTGCTTTCCCGGTTTGAGCTCCTTTCCTTTTGCCTCGTCTTGGGCGCGACGATAACTTCGGCGTCGGGCGAGATCTTGACGAAGAGCGATGTGTTGGGCGGCGCGGGAGCGATGGAAGTGACGGTAATGTTCGCGGTCGTTGTAGGGGACAGATGCAGCGTAAGGGGGTGCGGTGATGCGGCCTGAGGGTTGGGGAGTGCGCGTATCTGAGAGAGGAAGTTCAATTCCAAGAATTGAGCATGCAGCTCTATCATCTCCCAGTCTACGGGGGTCAAGGGCTCGATGTTGATGGTATGCGCCTGAGGCGGATCCAGATGTAGCAGTATGCCCACCTTTTGCCCTTCTTGAAGCCCGATCAACCTGGCGAATGTGGCATCCACCTCTACTGCTGGGAGGTCTTGTTGGCTGACTGCTGGGCTGCCTCTCAAGCCGTCTCGCCCAACTACAGGCGCAATCCTGCGCTTGCTCTGCATGCCCGTCCATCCCACGAAGATAGACTTGGGCGCGGCATTCCTGTTATCCGAAGCACCCGGTGGTGGAGGTTGGCGGTATGTGAGCTCGACGACGACATTCTGGGCGACTGTGTTCGCATTCACGAGAACCGAGACGAGCGAGGATGGGAGATTGACGAGGCAATTCTTCAAAGATTGCTGCAAGGCAACCTCGGCCTGGACAACATTACCAGCAGGCTTCTTGGGCGGCATGATGATGAGGATTGAAGAGGAAGCGAAGCTGTTGTTGCTGCTGCTGTCGCATTGCGCATACCACAAGCTTCCCACGCGAGCAGCCGAGGTCGTCGGCGCCGATGGCCTAAAGCGGTGGCAGAAAGCGGCGGTCCAATCGCTCGAGTGCCCTGGAAACGCGGGTCGACGCGCCTCAGAGCTATACGCGACCAGACCAGCCCCAATTTTGCTACCGCGCATCCCTCCCCGCTGCATCACTCCATCCACCCTAGACGCTTACTTTCACAACCACACCCCAGATAGAATGGCGCTCCTTACTACGAGTGCGCCAGTCAACTACGACGAGCAGGAGGGTTTGTGTGCACGGGCAAAATATCCAAAACTCCAGCTAACAGCCAACAGCGGCCTTTGTTGATTTCCTCAAAACTACAAATCTGCCTCTACAGATGCTGCCGACCAGCTCGAGGGCCTCAATATCAATGGCGATGGCGAAGAGGAGTATGACATGGTCGACGACTCGGACGATCCCGCGCCAAACGGAGCGCAATCCCGCAGCAAGTCGAAGCTCAAGTACATGGACCAACTACAAGACGTAGCGAATCGCGTGCGCGACGAGATCCAAATAGATCTGAACGACGTCGAGGCATACGAGAAGGCGACATCAGACGACGAGCACAACTACAGGCTGGTCGAGTCAATCGAGCGCAATGCGCACCATTACATCGACATCTTCTCGCGAGCAGTCGACAAGTGCCTGCCTCCACCGACTAGAGAACTAGACTTCAAAGACGATGTTTTGGACGTGATCATGACGCAGCGTTCGAAGCGCAATGAAAGACAGCAAGAGATGCAGGGAGTCGACGATTCCGCACAGGCTGCGCCCGAAACCATGTTTCCCCCTGCGTTGACTAGACGATACACCCTCAACTTCAGGCCCAGGATACCAGCTGGTTCCAGCAGCCAGCGTAGCACTAAGGCGCTAGCAGTCCGCAATGTCCGGGGAGAGCACTTGGGTCACCTCATCACAGTTCGCGGTATTGCAACCAGAGTGTCAGACGTCAAGCCTGCTGTGCAGGTCAACGCCTACTCTTGCGATCGCTGTGGAAGCGAAGTTTTCCAGCCCGTCACTACCAAACAGTTCACGCCGCTTGTTGAGTGCCCGTCCGACGATTGTAAGAGCAACAAGACTAAAGGCCAGCTCTTCCTTTCTACTCGCGCTTCCAAATTTCTTCCGTTCCAAGAAGTCAAGATCCAGGAGATGGCTGATCAAGTACCTGTTGGTCACATTCCCAGACAGCTGACCATTCACTGCCATGGCGCGCTCGTCAGACAGATCAACCCCGGAGATGTCATCGATTGCGCTGGTATCTTTCTACCCACACCCTACACTGGCTTCAAGGCAATCCGAGCCGGTCTTCTCACCGACACATATCTCGAAGCGCAATACGTTATGCAACACAAGAAGGCCTACGACGACATTGTGCTTGCTCAACCGACTCTTCGAAGGATGAACGAACTTGAGCGGACTGGCCAGCTGTACGAGTACCTATCGCGGTCCATCGCACCTGAAATCTTCGGTCACGTCGACGTCAAGAAGGCACTGCTCCTTCAGCTCATTGGCGGTGTCACTAAGGAGGTTGGTGACGGCATGCGCATTCGTGGTGATATCAACGTATGCTTGATGGGTGACCCTGGTGTGGCCAAATCTCAATTGCTCAAGTACATTACCAAAGTAGCACCTCGTGGTGTCTACACGACTGGTCGCGGTAGCAGTGGTGTTGGTCTCACTGCTGCGGTCATGCGTGACCCTGTCACAGATGAAATGGTCCTTGAAGGAGGAGCTCTTGTGCTTGCTGACAACGGCATGTGCTGTATTGATGAGTTCGACAAGATGGACGACAGTGACCGAACAGCAATCCACGAAGTCATGGAACAACAAACAATCTCTATCAGCAAGGCTGGTATTACAACCACTTTAAACGCCCGCACATCGATCCTCGCGGCTGCTAACCCGCTGTACGGCCGCTACAATCCTCGTCTCTCACCGATCGAGAACATCAACCTTCCCGCTGCGCTCCTATCTCGTTTCGACGTCCTGTTCCTTATCCTCGACACCCCTGCGCGGGACTCTGATGAAGAGCTAGCCCGTCACGTTACTCACGTGCACATGCACAATGCTCACCCTGAAGCCCCTGGTGGCATCATCTTCAGCCCTGCCGAAGTCCGACAATGGGTTGCTCGCGCGCGATCATACCGACCAACAGTACCAAAGGACGTGTCAGATTACATGGTTGGCGCCTACGTACGCATGCGTCAACAACAGAAGCGCGATGATGGCAACAAGAAGGCCTTTACCCACACATCGCCTCGTACACTACTTGGTGTACTCCGTCTTGCACAGGCTTTGGCTCGTTTGCGGTTTGCCGAACAAGTCATCTCTGAAGACGTCGATGAGGCTCTCCGCCTTACCGAAGTCAGCAAGGCCAGTCTGTATGCTGATGAGAACCGCGGGATCGATCACACTCCAAGCAGTAAAATCTATCACCTCATCAAGTCCATGGAGGCTAGCGGTGCTGCTGCTGTTGGTGACGGCACAAGGGGCGAACTTGATCTCCGCAGGGTCAGGGAAAGAGTCTTGGCCAAGGGTTTCACAGCCGACCAGTTCGAGCAGGCTATCGACGAATACTCCTTGCTTGACGTAAGTACCATGGTCAAATGTTTGAGTATGTGCACCGTGCTAACGCTTCTCAATAGGTCTGGCAAACAACTGGTGAAGGCACAAGACTTGTCTTCATCGAAGCTGGTCTGGAGGACGAGGATATGGACGCTGATAACGATTTCTAGAGCATGGGAATGTAACGGTGGCAGAGGATGTAGATGTTCCTGTTTACGGCGTATCGAGGCGTTGGATATCCGAACGACGTTTAGCGCGCGTCTACTTTGCTTGCAGCTTCGCATAGAAATTTCAATGAAGCAATGATGAACAAATGCTTCTTTGACAATCGTTCACTGGATGTCGCGTGAGTCGTGAATCGCTGTCACATGCCAAGCCACCCATCTGCAGGCAAGCATCATCGGTGCGTGGTGAACCCTCGCGGGGTCGCTACCGAAAAGTGGGAGAGCTCATGTCTCCCAGCCCTGTTTCACTGTGCACTCTTTCACAACATATCACCATTTATCTGATTACTGATGTGGTGAGATTTCGCTACGAGCACTCGTCCACGGTTCTACCTTCTTAAAGAGGTTACTTCCAACTGCGAATCTCGCGACGCGGCAGAAACCGACAGATAAGCTTGCGCCAGCTGTTCGCATCTCACTGTGATCCTCCTATCAATCGCAAATTTCACAAGGGTTCGCACTTTGTAGCATTCTTCAACATGACCCAAGGCGCAGCAAACAACTTTGCGCAATTCATGGTTGTAGGACGTAAGTATGCCCCTCCATGCTGTCTCAGCCCACTTCCGCAAAGCTCAATTGTCCAATGCTCCTGCTGACGAACCTGTAGCAACATGTTTTTTCCTCGGTATCATGTTTGCGCAACTCCCATATGACTACAACGTCTTATGGACCATGCCCACCGACCGATCCGCCTACTTCGACATCCTTGAATCACACATCAAGTTCCTCTATGCCTCTCCTCCCATCGTGTCGCGCATCCTCAACCTAGCCATCGGCACCGGTCTCCTCGGCTTCCTCATCAAGCTCTTCAAGCCGAACCAGGCCAACATGCTCTTCGATGGCGCGTCGCTTGTTCTCTACATGGCCGGTATTACCGTATACCTGACCAACATCGTCAAGGGCTTCAGGGTCGTGACGGCAGGCATCTACGGAGACGTGAACAAGGCTGCTCCGGGTGAGATTACCGACGAGGACATGGCCGACTACATCTCGAGGGAGGACACGTTGAGAGTTTTTGCGGCAAGCAACACGATTCTGGCGCTCGTACTGGTGGGTGTGCTAGTGTTGCAGGCTGGGCAATGGTATGCTAAGAGGGCTGAGGAGAAGGAGATCGAGGAGTTTGAGCGCCAGGCTGAGGAGAAGAAGGGCGTGGGGAAGAAGAAGCAGTAGGCTGTAACTTCTACGGTTGAGTGAGTCTGCGGCAGTGGATTCGCTTTCCAAGGGAATGAGGTTCAGGTCGAGTATACTTTCAACTCTTGTTCCACTTCTATCGTGTGTAGTTGTTAGGAGCTGGGATTCGTTTGTGGTATACCGAACGAGTTTATAGGAACAATGAGGTACATATCACTTGAAGTACTTTGCCTGTATCTCTTCACAATCATTTTACCCTTCTGTTTACTGCTACCATCTGAACTCATCTCAGATGGGGTCGACGGTGTAAGTTCGGCTTGGTAGCGCCTTCCTGTTTGGCACAACTCACCAACAACAACAAACCTGTGCCTGCCGACCTCACCCTCTCCAATCAACCTCATTCGCATGCCCTACCACTTCCAGAACTTCTCTTTTCCATATATGGCACCCGGACGGGGACTCATCTCGGCAGGGCATACTAATGGACTGCTGTTGTTGCTCACTTCATCGATTAATAGATTCGCCGACGATCGCACCTTCTCACCGCTCACCAAAGGAACCACACTGGACAAGAGGAAGCCGCGACTACTGAGCTCCGATACTTTCTCTAAGGAAAAGCAGTAGCAACAACCAGCCATGACGCGGCGCCAGGCATCCTCCGCTTTTGGACGCAGACAAAACGCAAACGGGATGGAACACCGAGACCGAACCACTGCGAACTCAGCCAATGGTCTGCTCAGTAGACAATTCGCCAGCATAACTGACGTTCTATTCAAAGCAAGTGAGCGACGAAATCAGGAGCTACAGAAGCTGCAACAAAGACTGTTGAGACCAGTACCCACCCCATCGACATCCAAGTCTGCACACGAGCTTTTTGTTACAGCCAAGCCGGAGTCATCGCAGGGCAGTGGCTCTGGTGACGATTGTGTCGAGCTCGAACAGGTCGAGCAGAACAACAAAGGTACTACCAGCGACTACTTGACAGTGGTCGCCTCTACTATGGGACTTTCAGGTAAGCATACATATATGCATTATGCCATCACTCGGTTTAGTCTAGCTAATTTGCACCTAGAAATATCAGGGATACAGGTTCAGTTGCGCGGTGGCTATGTGTCGGACTGTGCAGACGACTCCAAGATGATGATCGCGGAGTTGAATTCGCCAAAGCAAAAGCATTCTGGCAGCGGAGTCCAGGAAGAACTCGATGACAACGATGATCTGGCGCGAATGTTAGCCGGTCTGAAAAACCACTGGTCGTCATTAAAAGGCAACGCTGTTAGGCAGAGGAACGACCCAAAAGCTATATCTGCAGGCCTCAACGTGTATGAGGAAGGCGAATTATCGGCCTTGGCTAAGCGTCTAGGCATCGACAGCAATGAGAGCGAAGTCTTCGAGGATTCGAAAGCTGCACTTGATATCCTCAGTGAGCAGGACCAAACTTATGGTACAGGCCATTCCGAAGACGAGAACGACGATCTCGAGTTCCTCCATGCCAAGCTAGCGACTATGTTTACACCACCCTTCGGCACAGCCTCTGGAGACTTCCCGTATATTGCCAAGAGTAAATCTGTTGTCAGCATAACACCAAGTCCTCAAAAAGATGTAGCTGGTATGCTCAAGCCGGCATATATATCATCTGCTGTCGCCTTGAGATTGGAGAGCCGGGACGTTGAGAGTGAAGGTGCTAAGGGTCGGTTCACACAACCGTTCAGTAACAGCATGGATGAACAGGAGGCCAAGGACGAAAAAGCTGAGATGGTGAAGAAAGAGAACGAGAAGCTTGAGGCCACCATCAAGTATGTCTTGGAGGAGGAAAAGAGGTACCACAAGATCGAGGAGAACAAGCGCCTGCCAGCTCGCCTGATCCTCTCCAACCTCGCTGCCGATGCAGATGATAAAGCCATTCGCATATTCTTCGCCAAGTACAGCACGGAAATGTAAGTCGATTACCCCATCTACATGTCGAACAAACACTATACTGACCCTCGTCTCACTAGCCGTGATGTCACCCTTCTATCCAAACGCGATCCACTCAAAAGGACCAGAACGGCATACGTCGACATGTACAGCAGGAATGTAGCGGTTCGTGCATCCTACGAGGTCGGAGGTATCTTCGGATTGATCGTGAAGATCAAGTTGGCAGTGGAGTAAAGAGCCTTAAACAACGACCTGCTTGCATGAGGGCATCAAGACGTTCAAGCCATAATGTATTATGCCAATCAAGGATACTTCTGAGTAGCTGCTCAAGCAGTGACACAAATCTGTGGTACATCAGCCACTAACTCTTCCCATACAAAAATATTTTTCAAGTTCCCTTGTCGCTTGCCAAAGCCTTCTCCAGCTCGCGATCAGCGCTCAACTCCTTCTCCGCGCCCTCAATCACGCCCCTCAGTCCCTTGGCGCAAGCCTCCAACTGCGCTCTCTCTTCTTCGTCGAGCTGAATAGGCATCGATTTGATAATACCCTTTCGGCCCACCACTGCTGGCATTGACAAACAGCAGCCCAACTCAGGTTGATAGAAGGACAAGGGTCGAACGGATCGTGAGTCGAACAATATGTACTTGCAGATACTAGCTGCAATATTTCCTATACCGTACGCAGTGCAGCCTTTAGCCGCAATGATGGCACCAGCTGCTCCGCGAGTATGAGACGAGATTTGGTTCTTGAACTCCGAAGTTAGCGTGTTTGGTGGGAGAGCAAGGGCGAGTGGTGTTGTGCCGATAGTAGCGCTTGACCACGCGATCTGTTGTGTAGGTTTCCTAGGTCAGCGAGTTCTTTTCCCTCAGGCCAAAATGCTTCGTCGCAAGAGGGTTTAGGTTTCACGTACAAACTGACTATCGCCATGCTCCCCAAGCACATATGCATCGATACTATTTGGCGCCACCTCCGCCTTGTCCGCCAACACACCCCTCAGCCTCGCAGAGTCCAAACTTGTCCCCGTCCCCAACACCTGACTCTCTGGCAGCCCTGATAACCTCCTTGCAAAATACGTCAATATGTCCACTGGGTTCGCCACAAGTAGCAGGATCGTATGCGGACTAATCGGCGCCATGGCTCCAAAGATACTCTCCAGAATGTGCAAATTCCGGGATAACAGCGAGAGGCGTGATTCTCCGGACTTTTGTTTCGCGCCTGCGGTGATGACGACAATGTCGGCCTGGCCGGCGTCTTTGTGCGTGCCTGCTCGGACTTTTACGCCAGAGCCGCCGCGGTAGGTTGCATCATTTAGGTCGCGAACTTGGGCTTCCAAGAGGGAGGCTTTGAGGTCGACGAGGATTACTTCCGAGCAGATGGGTTGGAGGATTAGGGTGTAGGCTAGGGTTGAGCCGACGTCTCCGCAGCCGAGGATTGCGATTGTGGTTTTAAGTTTGGGGGTTGTCATTGTTGCTGTTTCTTGGTTTTTGTTTTTTCGGGTATGGGTACTGTGGAAGGAGGTGTTAGTGGGTAGGCCTAAGTGATAGAGTTGTGACAGATTAGGTGGTGAGGATAGTGAAATTTGAAAAGGTTGTAGAACTGTGATTGTGAGAAGAAAAAGAGCCTGCGATCTGATCGTTCGATGTTATATACACGCCTTCTGTACGTGAGTCTTGGAACTGGATGTTATAGTACGTTGCCAAGGCCTGGGCTGCAGAGAGGTGGTGTGATGTTATTGGTAAGGTGGAGTTCAGCCACTCACCGTTATCTCATCATGCAAACACGTGCTTACAGCGTAAACTCAATCGTATTGTTACGGATAATCTCGGTGTCGTAGTTCATCGCATGTTTGCTATGTCACTCCTTTGCCTCGGGTCGGGCATCGTATTAGGGTGGTTATTACAACATCTGCTGATACGCCCACTGGTTCTGCACATCATCCTCCAGTGGCAGTGTTGTCTTCTGCAATTCTTTCGCCACTTTATCAGCCTCACCCCAGACTCGAAGAAGGTTTCGTCCTGCAATCTTTGCAGCATCTTCATCGCTTATGCCCTGTCTCAGCAATTCAGCAATAAGGTCGGGGAACTTTGATACATCCTCCAATCCCTCGGGCGTCTTCTCGATACCATCATAGTCTGTACCAATACCAACGTGATCATAACCAATTAGTTCTCCAATATGTCTGATGTGACGGACTACATGCGCCAGTGTGTTGTTCTCTGGAACAAAGTCTGGGAAGGAGTTTGGCGTTTCCGAGGCCTTGCAGGATACGAAATTTGGGTTAAAGTTGACCATGACAACAGAATTACGCTGCTTGACGAGGTGAAGGATGTCATCGGGTACGTTTCGCGGATGCGGGCAGATTGCGTATGCGGAGCTGTGGCTGAAGATTGGGGGCGCGATGCTACCAGTCCAATTTTCGTCACCTCGACCGACCAGCACATCGCGCATAGTGTCTTGACTAACGTGCGCAAGATCCACCAACATTCCTAGGCGATTCATCTCCTTGATGAGGTCACGACCTGCTGGACTAAGTCCTTTCCAATAAGGTTTTGCGATGTGCGCGCTGAAGTCGGATCCAGTCTCAATTGCTGCATCAGCATACTTGTTATGGCAGTTCCATGTCAAAGTCGCGTATCTGACTCCAAGTTGGTAGTAAAGTCGCAGCGTAGAGACCGAGTTGCCGATTTGGTGCAGACCTTCGATAGCCGCTGGGGCAATGAAACCGCCATTCTCGAAGGCTTTGATGGCCTCTGCACTGTTTCTAGGCGGAGTGAAGTACTTCGGATAGTTTTGACCTAGACGGTTGAAGAGATCTAGCTGGCCGAGCGTTGCCTTGACGACTGTACACATTAATACCATAATTTTCGTTTGTTGCTTCGTGTTGGCTTACTATCATAATATCTGTCATCCGCAAAGTTCGTCTCATCGCCTAGTGGACAAAGCCAGAATGCGCTCCAGAACGCACCGCCTTGCAGGCCCTTTTGAAGGCGAGGGATATCGACGTGCTGCGCTAGCCCGCCGTTCTCGAATTTGTCTGCAAAGTCACTGCCGGACTCGTTGTAGATGTGATTTTTGTATGTGCCTCGAATGAAAATCATGAGATCATTATGGCCATCTCTTGGGTAGTCAGCAATTGGCCCTTCATGTCACATTCATACGGCTGACCGATAAGTGGATTCTCCTGCAGTATCTTCACAGCTCTTTCTTCAACTGTTATTGGCTTTCCACATGTATGCTTTTGGCCTGAGAACAATGTCCGGATCTCTGAGAACCATATGGTTGACGCGATAAGGAAGAGGACTACGAAGAAGATAACGTCATAAGCGCCGCACATGCGCCGTCTCGAGGAACGACGGCGCAGTATATGCGCGTGCTTCTCGCTGACAGGGAGGTCTTCTGACTTCTCCATGATCAATACAGGAGGTCAGAGGTGGAAAAGGAACGTAGTGCAAGGTAGAGCCGTATCATCGAGGTAGATGTCGGTCTTGGCACCAGACGCGGACGGATTTAGGAGTTTGGTCCGAAAACACCACGCGACGCGCACCCTAATACATCGTCATAGCCACAACCGTCTTAAAAATACATCGATAGCTTCCTCAATTGCACTTCACAATCCACAAACATGGCGATGATATCAGCAAACACCTTAGTACGCAGTATCGCACTGTTCCACCTTACACTCGCAGTTGTCCTGCTCAAGAATCCCGCCTTGATATCGAACCAAGGTGTCATCCTCCTGCTAGGAGAATCAATGCAACTTGTAAGTATTCCCAGTCTCTCTCCTTACATCCATATCCTCCCTGAACCCACTAACACATATCAGCCAACGCCCCGTGACTTCAACAAACCCTCCGCAGCAACAGCCTTCCTAGCCGTCCTTTTCGCTTTCATCGGCCTCACCGACCTCACGGCCCTCTCTCTTCACGAAGACGTTTTCGATCAATTCTGGGGCCTCCAGGCACCCGTGCGTCTCCTCTTCCTCTTCGGTCTTACCGCATACTCGTACATGTTCAAGGAGGGAGGCATGTTTGCACCGAGGGGCATGGAATACAGAATGAGCGCTGGCGCTAGTCTGAACAACAGCTTTATATTCACGTGGGGGTTCATAGAAGTATTTGCGTGGTTCTGGGTTTTCACCACGTTGAGGGAAGAGAGGTCGGCGAAAGCGACGAAGATGGCTGAGAAGCAGGCTCGGGAAGCTGATCAGAACACGCTATAGGACGGCTTTCGGAACTTGCGTAATTGATAGAGACATCGATATCGAACCGTGAGCACTCAGTTCACACCTAGAGTCTGGCGCCCAGCCGATCTGGTTTACACAAGAGACTGGAGGGATACCCTGCTACGTCTGAAAAGACGTACGTAGTTGAAGGACCATCTGTACTTTGTGCACATACTATGAGCTTCGATGGAGGATCGAGAACCGGCCCAACGAGGTTTACATCTCCACGTGCAGAAGACTGCGGGGAGACGACAGACGTTTACGAAAAGCCACAACATACCAATGCACAGGGTCAAAAGATATCTACCATAGTCTCAAGCTTTTGAGAAAATCTATCAACGGTATCTAATAAGTGTAGCAGAGCGTCCCGCCTTTGGTATTTAGCAGGTCCTTGAGTGTGGCATTGCCCGCTAGCGCCCCGATGTTGATGGTGAAGTCTAATGTAACGTTCTTGCCGCTATAATCAAAGGGTGTGATGGGACCACCCACTTGATTCAGACGTGTCTCCAGATCTTTCTGTTGCCATTCCCAAAAGATGCGGTCAATGTTTCCATGGTGGAGGTAGAAGAGTGGATCTGTCGGGTGTTAGCTTGTATTAGAACGCCGTTTCATCGTGGCAGATGGGCGAGAATCAGAGGAGATGAGAAGAAAGCGCTCACCACCAGGGCTCTCCGCTGCGTTTCCCATGGTACCCAGGATGCCACCAACACCGAAGTGGCCGCTAGCATGAATGTTTGGGGGATCAAAGCTTTGCTTCTTCTCCACTGTTCTTGCTATGCTGGTGTAGTCCGGTTGTGCCAACACTTCTTCAACCAGTTTGCTATCTGCGAATCGGTTGATGATCCACGGAACAAAGTCTCGTTTCAAGCAGTGTGGAGTGGGCAGATTCACGGTAAAATGAGGAGGGGCGAATGGCCCATTCATAACACAGCCTCCACCAGTATTCCCTGTAATGTTCAAGCGATTCTGTTCTGGAGTAGCTTGGACGGGATAGCCGTTACCACCGAACCCTGTGTCAGGTTGGAAGATCTCGGAATGAAAGGCACGATGAGACTGTTCATTTTGCGGTTCAGCATCCAAGGACCAGTCCCAGTATCTGCGTACAGTTTAGCTCATGGGCATTCGGTGTCAAGAGAAGGGAATATAGGAGTTGAGACGACTTACGGTTGGCCTCCGGTGTATCCGCATTCGTCTCTCAGTGCCTTTTCATAGGTTGCAACAAAGTAACGGTGCCATAAGAGGAAATGACCCTGAGGCTGTAAGCACGCGAAAATGAGGCTGGATCAAGAGAGCTTGACATACCACCCAGTGGATCTGGGGCTTCTGAAGCATGTGGACACCTTGGTGATCATCGAATCGGTTCACGGCACCTGCGATACCGGATTTGGCCTTCCTATGTGACAAGCAAAGGACGGCATCGATGTAAGATTTCTTCTGTGGCACTGACAACTGTCTCCTATGTTCTACGCATCAGTGAAGCATTCAGATTTAGTAAGCTTTCGATCGCCTCACCATTCTACCCTCTTGGGAGGATTCTTGCATGTTCCCAATTCAGTGGTTGGAGGTAATGCTGCAGCTGCTGACCATTGTGCCAAGCCTAAGCCGACAGGGAGGAGTTCGAGAAGACGCATCGAGATCGAGTAGGCGCTACGGGTTTGGAACTTAGACAACAAAAGGTTTTGTCACACGTGGCAATCCCTTCGAGAAGATTTCCCTTAGATGGTTCTGCAGTACTGAAGAGCTTTCTCGTACACCCACAACGAAGTAGGCTCCTGAAGTAGCTGATGACCTTTAGTAACTGATGCCATTCGTCTATCTTATAAGAAAGCTGCGCGCGCTGGCTGCCGACTGCCGATCTTGCGTTGTACAGTCAGATCGCTTTAAGGCCTTTTTGGACCTTTACCGGCGGTTGCATTGAAGACATTGTTGAGTATGGTAGATACATTTACCGATGATCTATCCCTGATGCAGGGGAGACCAGCATTTCGAGTGCCACAATGGCCGTGACCAACTGTCTCAGGTTGTGAGTTGTCTAGTTATATGAACTCAAGTCGCTAATTGCTCTGCAAACGACCTTATTATGGGAAGCGTTCGCTCGACAGGGCGTAATCTCATTACACGCTGCATACACATTGTCAATGTCCTCGTTTCGTTATCCGAGCTTCATTCCTTGGCTAGGTGCTCCGTTGAACATTTTCATGCAATGCAACCTAGCCACGGATACTTGTATCCTGTGCCTGCGTCCTAACCCTGATATTACCTACGCCTCTGAGGATAGCCCGTCCTAAGAACCCTACATTGCGGGACGAGAGGCCCGCGGGTCCCGGAAGAAGTTCGGGGCTCACACAAAGATGGCTCGCTACCGCGTTGTCAGCGATCTTATTTGATAGATCGTTGCGGCTTGCCGGGCGTGGAGGTGGTCAGACCGCTAGCAGGGGTAGGTAAGATTGCTCAGCTGCAGCGGGTGGTCAAGATTCTTCGGGAGAGATACTTAATGCGTGACATACTGACATCCCCTAGCACGATTATTCGACCATGGGAAGGACGCAAATTGCCATTCCAGAAGTTGTTGTTGCGTACTCGTCTCTGGTGTCCCGTTAGCGATGCGCGTCTCGAACCCGACGTATCGACATGGATTCAAATCCTCCCTGATATTCGCCGGTGGTTAAAGACTGATGATGGTCCATGACTGCAACAGAACTGGAGGATGACCATTTCTGATCGGCCACGAGCTACATTACGATGTTTGCGATGATATTAATGGATAGGATGTATAACAAGGCGTTCTACCTACACGTGCGGCTGAGGGCGTGCTGGCTCTCGTCCATACTGAGGTTTATGTCACTCGCCTCATATTCGAACGGCGCTCTCTGCTCTATGTGACCATGATCGGGCCCAATTTCAGTGCAGATCATGATTCTAGACAGCCCATGTTCCTGATCACCACTGGAATTCTGATTCTGCTTTCGACTGTTGCCGTGGCTCTTAGGCAAGTACATACCATATTTGTATATGTCAAGGTATTGTTCGTTGACTATCTTGTAGGCTTTACTGCCGCCTTTTTCGCGTCCGCAATGTTGGGCTCGACGATTACTTCATGGTTGCTGCCCTTTTTGTCACAATTGGTATGGCAATCATGAATGGTTATCATATCAGCTGGGGCACAGGGTATGCATCAACAATATGCCACACGGGAGTGAAGTTGCGACTAACAGTAACAGACAACATCTGGAGTACTTGGATGTACCTTCGATGAGAATCCCAACCCTGAAGCACTTCTATTTCTACCAGTTGGTGTATCCTTTAGCGTTGTTCTTCGTCAAGGCTAGCATCCTGGCATTGTACCATCGCCTCTTTGAGAAGCTAGAATTCCGATACAAAGTGTGGTTTGTAGCTGCATTTGTGACAATCTACACGATTGTAGTCCTTTTCGTCAATGTAAGCCTTCCGTTACTCTCTTTCAGTTCCTAAGGATAACAACCTTAACAGGCTTTCGAATGTAGGCCGAAGCCTTCGCAAGCATGGTCACCAACGTTTCCCAAGGGTTGCAACAACCTGCGAGCTACCTATTTCGCGCTCGGGGCCATAAATGTCCTCACAGACATCACGATCTTTCTCTTGCCGTTCAAAGCTTTTTGGAAGTTGCAACTAGATCCGAGAAGACGGTGGGCTCTCTTCGGTATCTTTGGTGTTGGTGGCATGGCCGTCATTGCTTCAATCGTGAGAATATATGCGCTCTGGCTGTACAATGTCACCAAAGATATATCGTACGACTCAATCTTCGTGAGTCGATCTTCAAGGGTAGTTCCACTTCGCCGGATATTAACTAGTCTGCAGATTCTACTATTATCACAGATCGAAGTCAACGTAGCAATCATATCCGCCTCGGTCCCGGCCATACGACCACTCCTCAGGAACACACCACTTTCATTCAGTCAACCGAAGGCGTATGGAATCGGCTACACTCGTACAATAGGCAGTGAATCGGCCTCCAATAACTGGAGTTCTCACAGTCGCACAAGATCCAGTGGTCAAACCGAGCTTCTCACGTACGGTGGGCGTAGCCCGGTGGCAAAACAGAAAATTTTGTGCGGAGGAAGAAGCAATACAAGCGAAGAGTCCATTTTGAAAGACGATGGTATTACGAAGACCATGGAAACAAGGATAGACTTTGAGCGGATTCCCGA